TAGTTTCGTTGTCTCTCTAAGCTTGTTGAGCCCATAATTCAAGCAACCGGGAAGATAAAATATAGATCCCCCCCCCACCCCCCCGCGTGCGTTAGGCAAAGTGATGTGCTAGTAAACTGTGACAAGAGGAGAGAACGGTCCAGTTTTGTCTGCCTTTGATCTGCAAGACGGATGGAAAGTTTTTGCTTGTAAACTGTGACAAGAGGAGCATGCAGCCATGCAGGAACGAATAGGACGGCACACCACCAAAAGATCTCATGGCCGTGTGTGTCTCCAGCTCCTATGATGGCAGTACTGTACCGTGTGTAAGGACGAAGGACCCCAGGGGCACATGAGCATGACCAACCGCGTCTCTATTCTGTTATTATCTTTCTGTCTTTCAGCAATAAAAGTCCTGTAAATCCACCAACCCAAGGGAAACAGGAGGAATCCATCAAGTTTAACTGCACGCTTTATTCCTAAGACGACATCCGATTTTGGTCATGTTTAGTACTCCCTCCATTCCAAATTATAAGTCGTTTTGACTTCTTTTAGATGACTAGATATATAGTAAAATCTATATGCTAAAATTAGTCAAAGCGATTTATAATTAACAGAGGGAGTATGTAGGGTTTCTTTGCAAACGGATTCATCTAATTAAGAAGCTAGGAAAGCCACAGGTGCTATGTTTAGGGGTGGCTTCACCCTTCTAGTTTAGCATAAAAAACGGTTTCTCCCTTTTGCAGCTTCTTCCAGAGCTGTTTTATTATAAGCTAGCGTTTGGTTGGTGCGTCTAGAAAACCAGAGAAGTCAGAGCTGAGACCCCTTGAGAAATCCTGCCAAAGAGGGTTTATTAGCCGGTGATAAGTAGTGATGTAATGGCCCCGTTCGGCTTACCCAGAAAATGTCACTATTCAGTTTGTTTTTTCAGCCGGAATAGTATTTTTCTCTCACAACAATTCAGTCAGAACAGTGTTTTTTAGCCAATTTCAGCCAAGATTCAGCAAGCTGAACGGGCCAATGATGTCAGGTTCTTTATAGTCATCACCTCAGGTGGGCCAAGAGCATGCATCTACATATTCAAAAGGTTGATGAATTCAATCAATTCTCCTGGAAAAAAAAGGGAGAGAGAGAAGAAATAAGGAGCCATTTTGAGAGTTCGTTTCCTCTTAAGAAAACAGTGGAAATAGTATGCTGTCCTATGGCCCCGTTCGGCTTGTCTTAAAAGCCGGCTTATTCGGCTTCTTTTTTCAGCCGGAACCAACCCGGAACAGTGTTTTTCTCTCGCAACCGTGAACTGTCCATGTATTGTATTGAAGGCACGCATGTGGTCACTTTGGTCTGGTCTTGGGTCTCCTCCTTGCATTGCATTGCCTCCTTTCGGTCTCTGACGTTGGCCTCTTTTAATACCTGCTGACCTGCACCTGCTCATCTCGTCCTCCATGGATACACGGATCGGAGGTAGAACCAGCATCAGCAAACTAGCATTGGGACCTGAACTGCGTTAGATCCTGCAGCGAATGGTCCCCTGCCGTTAACAACCAGCCAGCCAGCCACAGCCATCCATCACCCACCCCACCGGCCACCACTCCTCTCTCGACCACCTTCCCTTTGCTGCTTTTCAGCTTGCACTTTCATATCCATCCTAGTGGTGGCTGGCGCCCGTCAAATTGAAAATTCAGAGGCTCGGGTGCATGCTGACTTGTGCTAGCTGAGACTCACTGGGTCAGTCTATGTAACGCTAGCTATGGTGCATGCATGTTGCATTGCCAGCGTGATTAGATTGCACTAGCAGCACCATGTTGTAGTTTAATTACTCCCTCCCCCGTCCTAAAAAGAACGACATTCTTGCCGGACTCTTTTTAAGCCGATGAATCTCAAATTTGATCAAATGTATAAAAAAACACTAATATATTTATGATGCATAATAAGTTTCATTGAATGAATTAAATCATGAAATATATTTTTATAATAAACTTGTTTGGAGATATAGATGTTGATAATATCTTTTATAAACCTAGTACCTAGTCGAATATAAATAGTACGTACAGCTTATAATCTACAACCTAGAATGGCATTCTTTTCGTTACGGCGCTAGTGATGCATGGAAGAGCAAGTGTCCTTAGCAGCAATGATCTATGAAGGAAACAGATGCTGGTGGCATGTTGGGCTTTCAAGCGTCGTTGCTTTTGGAAAGTACTATCACGCAGCAGCAACAGCTAGTTTAATGGAGAGGAGAAAAAAGCAGCTAGGAAGGACCATGAGGGATGTAAACAAAGAAGACAAGGGAAAAGAATGGGCTGGATGCTTCGTCATATATTGTAAATAGCGGTAGCTAATTGCGAGCTATTATATTATATATTACTCCAGGTTTTAAGTATAGCAGGCACTGGTACATAGATTAGATTCGGCACAACTGAAAGCTGAAAAACTGTCTTCTGAAATGAAGCCTGGCACTCGTGTGGATGCGTTGGTTCATCATTCTGATTTCTGAAGCAATATACTGTCTTCGCATTCCATTTAGGATTTAGCAAAGCTCTTTCAATAGTACATTCATTGCTATATTTTTTGGGTGACAGTATGACACATGTAAGCAAGATAGTCCATTCATTCATTCATTCCTAAGAGGAAACCAAACTGACACCACTAATAACTAACTAAATGCAAACAAAGGACACTCTTTCTGACACTGTCTCTGTAGAAAAAGGGGTACAAGTCGTGTTAGTTTATTCCTTGACAGTATAAACTATGGGTATATTTATCTACAGAGTACAGTGTGAAGCTAAAGCAAGTACTACTAGAATGCTATCTATGCAGCTTTCAAGGACGAGAAACCCTTAGTTATTGTTAGGCAAGCAGAGAACATCTCTTTCAGGAACCGTGCGAGACCAAACTCTGCACTTCAACGCACACCCTGGGCACCTGCACTTCCAGTTATTCCCTTCACGTACAAGTGAAGGGTTTCAACACAGGAGAGATACCGATGCATGCTGTCCCGTGTTATTAATTATACCTCTTGCGGGCAAAGTGGCAACTTTTTTTTTTTTTGAGGGCGAAGTTGCAACTGGAAGGAAGGAAGGAAGAAAAGCTGCTGCAGAGTCAAGTCCTAGCCTAGAAGGAAAAAGAAGGCTACACCACCAATTCAGTACTGTAGCTTGCTGCTTGAAAGTCATGCTGATCTGTCTGAATTCTGATGATCCAGTCATCCAGAACAACCAAACCAGGACTTGAGGTCCAAACAAAAAAGAAAATATAATTCTCGTTTTTTGAGAAATCAAACAGTTTCAAATTTAACCACATCCATATAAAAATATTAACATTTATGATAACAAATAAGTCTCATTCGAGTTGTCATGAAATAGTATATACATATTGATATTATTTTCTATGAACTTAGTTAAATTTGACTAGTTTAAATTTGATCAGATCTAGAATTACATTTTTTTTTTTTTTTTTGCTAGGAGACCGAGACAGCAAGTCAGAGAAGTCGTTGCTGTTGTACAGACTTTTGGGCTAGTATGTACAGAAAACAGCTGGGAGAAGAGAAAAATTGGACGTGGAATGGACTGGGTGATGGATCGGAGAGAGGACAAGAGTTGGCCACGTACGAGTACTCCCATTTCTAGGAGGAGAAGAAGAAATCGGCCCATCTGCCATTGATGAATGCTGCTTGGATCATACTCCTCCCCTCCTAGACAGATGTAAAGTCAAGTGCGCTCCTCTCTCTGATCTGATCGATAACAGCATATATGAATCAGTACATGACAATTCACTTGATCTTTAAAGAACAGTCCATCACTGAACTGTAAATCCTGTTCAACCGGTATCCAGAATGCAGATGGATCACTTCTGAACTCTAGAGATGAATGAATAAGGCAGCAGTGAAAAGCCAAAAAACAAGAGACGATCCCAGCCTCTGCTTTTGCTGCCTGCGAATGAACATGATTCTCTCTGGGTCGGGGTCGCGGCCGCCGCAAGAGCACGACGGGTGAGTGGCTCAGGTCAGTCAGCCCACGCGTTTCCTCTTGACCCCGGTGCCCTGGCACTGCAGCGTGCAGCAGCCTCAACTCCTGAAGAGGACGGCGGATAGGGACAGCAGCTGATTGGCGGCAGGCAGTCAGGCAACGGTAATGAGACATCTCCTCACATTGTGCAGGGAATGCAAGGAGGAACAATATAAGCATAACCACGAGGCCTCCTCATCTGTCCCTCATGCCGATTATATTGAGTGGCATGAAGTGTAAGATGATCCGACTAGTAAAGTACAGGAGGGCTTTGGAAATCAAGTGACAGCAGCACGCATGTATATATTCAGTTCGATCCATTTCATGGACCAAGGATGGTTGGCTCTTTGATACTACAACCAATTGTGAGGATTTGGAGAACTTCAGAAAAAATAACATGGAACAATGGATTGCAGTAACAATAGCAGGGAATCTAAGACTGAAGTCAACCCGTTACAGTCTTACAGACACTCATGAAACTACTGCTACTATTCTAGGGTTCTAGACATCCATGTCTGCGATAAAAGATACAGTGATACACATTCAGATCGAATCCCATGTTACATAGTGCTAGGATGCTTAAGTTAAGCATACAAGTTTAAAGAAAACTTCGTAGGCAAAATAAAAACAGGAAAGCGCGCCTTCTCGGAGGAGTGTCGTCTTGGCTCCCGACTTGTTGCTTACTTGTAGGACTTGCCTCGTTGAATCCTATCATGCATCTGATCAACAGACAACAATGTAGAATTACTCACTTGCCTCGGTGAATCTATCATGCACCTCATCAACAGACAACAGGCCGACATCTCTACCTGCAGAAACAGCAAGTCCGTCATACAAGGAAACTTTTACTTCAAAGCATCATGCATGCATATTAGAAACTCAGGTTCATGAGGGTCACAAGACAGTACCAGCAGTCATGAAGCTTGAGTAAGGATAAATTTTGTTGTAGCGAATTTCTACAGACACCTTCATACACTTCATCGACTCCAGGTTGAACATGACGATGCCAGTATGTGTCTATAGGAAGATCACATAGTTCTCCTCCTCAAACCACACTATTCTCAACGCCGGCCAATACAACTGCAGTTCTAGTGGGAAGGGAGTGTCCAGCAGAACAGTTTTGCGCAGCACCCATTTTGCAGCACTGCTAAGAACTGTATCCCACACCCAGAATTGGATGGTGTGTCCATATTCATCTAACATGACAATACAAAGGAGGCCATCCTTCGTCATGAACAGATAGCTGCAATGGTATTCATAGCCTCTTTCTTCGTTCCATGGTACGTCGATGATGGCAAGGGCCTGTGTTCCCAAATCATAACGAAGGATTCCGACATCCTCGTGGAACCAGTAGAATGCATCACCAACAAGGGTGCTAAGGGACCGTATGAACGCAATAGTACATCCAAAAACCAAAGTATCCACGGAATGGGTCCAAGCACCTGAATCGGACGAGTAAACAGAGGCAGACAATCTTGTATGGCCAACATCTGTGGATAGCGCAAACAGGTGGAAGCGGAGGCGGTCCACGCCGGTGGAATCAATAGCCAGCTCGACTTTGAGAGTCACAGGTAGCTTGACATCTTTGGTTAATAGGGCAGACCGGTCGCCGGTCATGAGGTCGAGCACTTGTAACTTCGACCCTCTCCTGCATAGGACGAGCCCCATCGCGGCAGGCGACCATATTCCAGTTCCCGAAAAAGCCGAGGAGGGGAAGCGGCGGAGGAAATGGGGATCGGTGACGACGCGGCGCCAGGACTTGCAGACAGCTGCGGCGCAGGGGAGGGAGCTACGCCGCGGCGGGAGGCGGAGCAGGAACTCGGCGAGGAGGTCCTCGTCATCCAGCGGGGTCGCCGGCGGCGGGGGCGCATCTGAAGAGGAGGAAAGATCGCCTCACCTGAAGGTCGAGACGGAACCAATTGATCGAATCGAATCGAGGAGCAGCGAGCACGCGGGCGGAACTAGAATTTCACCGTGCGCGGCGCGCGGCTGTTAATATGGGGACCGGCGGGCGGCGGTGTGCGGTGGCGATTTCCTGTCCTTGTCGGCTCCGGTTCCGTTCGTCGTTTGGCAAGCCAAGAAAACAGAGGTACTGCCTGCAGCTGCAACACTTGCGGCCCGGTCCGGCCCAATATATCCAGCATGACAAGCCCAGCGGACAACCCACTCGGCGCCTTAAGAGGCCCAAGTGACCGCCGTGGCTGCACACCAACGGACGTTGCGGGCCAGCAATAGAAAGCGCGCAGCGTGTGGGGCCGGGCCGTAACTGTGAGCGCTCGCCGCTTGGCCAGAGCCCAGAGCCACAGGTCGATTCTTCCCCACGCTGATGTTGGACTGCGCACTCGGCCCGTGGGCCGTGGAGCGTGAAGCCCTTAGGGCACGTACAACACGCCGTCCGTGCAGTCTGTATATTGTAGTTTTTGTAAAAAACACCCTCGTATGATGGGGGAGACGGTGCCGCCGTCGCCTCTCGAGACGACGACGAGGCTCGTGCTCCAAGCTATCTCGTAGTCGTCTCGCGAGGCCATGGAGATCCATTGGCTTAGCTGACGTTTCTGATGTAAACGAGGTGCTCGATGAAATGTGGCCATGGAGATCCATCGGCTTGCCGAGGACAACCAGCAACACAATGGTATACACACAAAAAAAAATTACGCTTGATCATGACTACATGTAGGCATTAAAGAATCAATGGACAAACAAAACAACCAACCCATTGTACGCGTGTCTGTATAGCCGTATGTATGTGGTATGACATCATCGTATAGACAGCTCGTGGGTTGTACATGCCCTTATCAAGTTTCCCCGAGGTAGCTGGGGTCCATTTCCTATCTACGTCGACTTTCCAGTCACAAAAACGATAGTGAAAAGGTCCGTTTGACGTTTCTCAGTTACGAAGTTCGATTTGCATCGTTTAATTGTAAAATCAAATTTTTAGATATTTCAGCTTTGAAATGATCCGATTTATCTCTATAAGTAGTTTTAAAAGCGGTGATAAAGATAGATCGAACTCACGCAATAGTTTAAAGTCAATTAGAAGTTATAAAAAATATAAAATTATTTTCCAACAAATTATCCAAATAAGATTTTAGAAATATATACATTTAAAAAAACTAAAATCTGATTTCGTCTTAGAAAAATTATTTGCAATAAAAAATACTAAAATCTGATTTCGATTTGCTCTCCGCCTCACGGCTCACGGGGAATCTGGGGATGCGGCGGCAGCTGTCGGCTGTTGGGCTGTTGGCTCACACTCGGCGCGTGGGCCGTGCGGTGTGAATCCCCATTTGTCAAGTGTCATTTTGCTCAAAAAAATTTTGTCAAGTGTCATTGTGTCAATGAGGTAGCTGGGCTCACTCATAAGGGTCATCCTATCTACCGCTACCACTGGTAGGTACCATCGTCAGGAGCTGAAACATTGGTTTCTGCCGCACATACCTATACAATCTTGATCCATGAACAATAAATATATTTATTTCCTGTACTCCAGATTAGATTTACAATTCATTTCTTACCATATGGACATATATAGAACAAATTTCATGTTGACTCTTTGATTTGTTCTATATCAATAGAGCATCGCCAAGAGACTTTCTTAAATTCATCTTCAAATCATCATTTGAAGAATTATTTGAATAAAAATCACTCTTGTGCGCACTCTAGAAAACCAAGCTCGCTCTCCATCTTTGGCTAACGAGAAATCCGGAATAGAGGATGCCAATATTTGGAATTCTAACTAAAAAAATTATGTGCGGGTAATTTTTAACTAAAACCTCTATTTCTATCAAGAATGAAAGGATATAATGATGCTCTTAGAGTTGCTCTTATTACATAATCCTGAAACCCAAAGGTGCATTTTTCTGATTAATACACTAAGGCTCTTTTTGGTGTGGCTCCTGCACGAGCTCCGACTCCAGCTCCGGTAGAGTAGGTGGAGCCGCACCAAACGCCCCAAGCAGCCGGAGCACTTCTACCTCCAAATCAGAGGAGCCAGAGCCAGTGGCGAATCTAGGATTTTGTCTAAGGGTATGTCGTCCAAAAATTTTCATATACAATTCGGTAAATCCATTTCAGCAATTCGATAATAATTATAAAATTGACAACATGATTCGGTATATATGCACTAAATAACACAATAAGACTTAAATTCATGGATTAAGTTCAAACCTCACGCTCGCTCACGGCTCGCGCTAGCACACACTCAGGCAGTCAGGCTCAGCTCTCGTATACTACAGCAGATGAGTGTATATGTGTATATATACGTATATATATTTGCTCTGTTGCCGGAATTGCAGGGTATGCCGGTGCATACCCGGCATACCCTGTAGCTCCGCCACTGGCCAACGCCCTTTTTACATTACGAACACAGAGCTACCCTTTGAGGCTGTGTTCCGGCTCCAATCCGCCTGTGGAGCTCGAGGGAGAAGCCTTGCTAAACTCCTTCTAATACAGGGAGACTTTTTTTTAACACTATTATATAGATAATTGATACATCTCCAAGTGTAATATGAATTGAACTAACTTTCCACTTTGACTCTCTGGATCCATGTGGACCTACCGGAGGGGCGGAGGGGGGTATTTCGTTCTCGAGCACTCTTAAATCGAAGACTAAAAAAAAACCAAAACGCCTCACTGAACTGAACTGCTGTTTGGCCCGGAAGCACAGCCAGTAAAGAAGTACGTCGGCACGTTTCACCATAGCAGTTACGTGACATACGGATTATGGAATATGCTTTCCAATCAAGGACACGCCCCCTGGCCGACCGATATGATTCGGTCCTCCCCCTCTGGCCGTCGTTCTCTGGACGACAAGTGCTGCGTGATGCAAAGCAAGGGCCCGGGGCAGCTAGGACTAGCAGCGCAAGGATGCAAAGGTCCAAATAAAACCTGACTGCACCCTACTTAGGCCCCGTTTAGATCCAAATTTTTTTAAATTTTAGCTACGGTAGCACTTTCGTTTGTATTTAGTAATTAGTGTTTAATTATAGACTAATTAGGTTCAAAAGTTTCGTCTCATGATTTCTCATCCAACTGTGCAATTAGTTTTTTTTTCGTCTATATTTAGTACTCCATGCATGTGCCGCAAGATTCAATGTGACGAATACTGCGTAAAATTTTTTGGAATCTAAACAGGGGCCTTACCTAGAGGCGAAAGCTACGTCTAGATCAATTCTCTACTCCCCTGGGCCTACGTACGTACACCATCGCAGCCATTCTCCCGTTTGTTTATTCGCGTCTCTCGATCGCACCGGTCCTTGTCGAAGCGGCCGGCCGCCACCACCTCCATTGCCGGCCTTGGGCAGCGACGACCAAGCGATGCGACGCATGCACCACGCCACGCGCTCCTCCCTCCACCTCGCTCACCCCCGGCGCCCCTCAGCTCACAGGTCAAAATAAAACGCCACACGCGTATATATAAGAGGCAGCATCCCTCTCCAGTTCATCCATCTCGGTGAAACGTACACACGGTAACACACAAGCTGTGATAGATCACAAATAGATAGATCGTTGCACCGGCGATCGATCGACGTACGGCGGCGGGCGGTGGCACAGCAAAGAAGAAGCCATGAGGCAGGCGAGGCCGTACTCGGGGATCTTCGGCGGCGGGGTGTTGGCGCGGACGGGGCCGCACGCGCTGCCGCTGGCGCGCATCAAGAAGATCATGAAGCGCTCCGCGGGGGAGACCGCGGACGGCGGCGCCAGGATGATCTCCTGCGAGGCGCCCGTGGTGTTCTCCAAGGCGTGCGAGCTCTTCGTCGCCGAGCTCACGCGCCGTGCCTGGGCCGCCACGCTCGAGGGCAAGCGCCGCACCGTGCACAGGGAGGACGTCGCCACGGCCGTGCACAACACCGACCTCTTCGACTTCCTCGTCGACGTCGTCAACGCGGACACTGCCGGCGACGACGACGCGCACGATGATGACAACGTCGGCGACGGCGCCCTGGGGTAAGCAAGCTCTGGAGACAAATTTTCCAGCGTGCGTGTGCTCCGGCTGGCTCAGAAAACCACATATGTTGTATGCCTATTTGTGCTGCGCAACAAGGACGACGACGCTCTGATGCAGTGACTTGCAGTAACCACATATGCAGTGGCGTGTTGTTGTTAATTTGTTATCTGAAGGAATGAAACTGGGCATTTGCTACTGGATCACATACGTACTCATTGCCATTGGAGATCTTTGTCAGGAGAAATTTCCTTCGAAGATTTTCGTCTTAGCATGTTTTTGATTATATAAGAGGAGACGAGGACTTTTATCTTGGCAGAAGGTCTCTATGACAATTCACCATTTTTTTAAAAAAAAATCCGTGCCTTGTCAAATTGTTTTGGGTGTTTCTGCCTTGTCTCCAGTACTTGTCCATAACCTGAAACTGAAAGCAGCAGCACCCAGACCCAGTGCAAAATCCAAACGTATACCAGCACACCCCGTGACAGTTTATGCTCAGACATGTTCAGGTAGACATGCTCCAATTACAAGTCATAATACACAAATGTTTCATCACAAACAGTTGTAGCATCTGATTTTTTTTCCTGGACTGTGCAAACGCAGAGCTGCAGAATGAAATTCAGAATAGTTGTAGGATCTGAACTTCTTGTGAATTTCAAATTATTGCAAGCACAGCACCGTCTGAAAATTCACATGACATAAGCACAGCACCGATTTCAGTTTCAGGCTTTCAGCACAAGATCCGGGAGAATGCGAATGGCGAGGCCCATAGGATCGCACGCAGGAATCGCAGACGCCGATGAGCCACTGACTCAGTGACCCCACCATCCGTGACGCCAGCCACCGCACCTTCACCCCAATCGTCAACCCCGGCCTCCTCCAGCCGCCGGCCGGGCGCCGCGGCCTGCCTATGAGCCTCCAACTCTCATCCCGCCTCCCGAGCCTCCTCAAGGACTGCGCCAGCAAGCGGCAGCTCGACCAGATCCATGGCCTGCTCGTCACCTCCCCCTCCCTCCGCCGCCTCCTCCCTGGCCTCCCGGCGCTGCTCGTCCGCCGCGCCACCGAGCTCGGCGACACGGCCCACGCGGACCTGCTCTTCACATCGTTCCGGGAGACCGAGCCCGCCGGCCCCGGCGCGGTCGCGCTCTACAACGCCATGATCCGGGGATGCGCTTACCACGGGCCCCACGAGCGCGCGCTGGAGCTATTCGCCGAAATGCTGCGCCGGGGCGGGGACGGCCTCGCCCTCTACCCGGACAGCTTCACCTACCCGTACGTCGTGGACGCGTGCGCGAGGCTGCGGATGTGGCGGGCCGCCGAGGCGGTGCACTGCCGCGTCCTCAAGGAGGGGCTCGCCGCCGTGCCGGCCGTCGGCAGCTCGCTGCTCGCGTTCTACGTCGCCCGCGGGTCGCTGGGCGACGCGAGGCGGGTGTTCGACGGCTTCCACGCCAGGTCCGTCGGCCTCTGCAACAGGATGGTGTCGTTGTACGTCAGGGCCGGAGACGTGAGGAGTGCGCGGGAGGTGTTCGACGCGATGGAGGCCAGGGACGTCGTGTCGTGGAACGCGATGCTCACCGCGTACGTCAGGACGGCGGACGTCGTGGCGGCCAAGGAGCTGTTCGCGGCTATGCCGGTGAAGAACGTCATATCGTGGACGACGATGATCAGGGCGCTGTCCGATGCGGGGGATTTCGCCGGCATGAGGGGACTGTTCAACCGGATGCCTGAGAGGAACCTGGTGTCATGGAACTGCATCCTCTCGAGTTACACCAGGCACGGAAGATTCTGGCAGGCGCTCCAGATGTTTCCCCGGATGCTGCTTGAAGGTCTCAACCCGGACAGCTTCACCGTCGTCTCGGTTCTCTCGGCTTGTGAGAACTTGAGGAAGCTGAGGCTCGGCAGATGGGTCCATGCCAACCTAGTGACTCCGGCGCTCCAGGTCCATGCTGAGGTTGGGACAGCCTTGGTCGAGATGTACGCCATGTGCGGCGACATGGCCCGCGCGTTCGTTGTCTTTCTGAAGATGGAGAGCAAGGATGTCTTCTCGTGGAACGTTATGATCAGAGCCCTCGCAGTGCATAGACGAGCTGACGATGCGCTCAGGCTGTTTGGTGTCATGAGGAAACAAGGGTTCCGGCCCAACCATTTCACCTTCATGGGCGTCCTGCTGGCGTGCAGGTACGGGTCTCTCGTCGACGAAGGCCGCAGGATGTTTGACATGATGCAGAAGGACTATTGCATCCCGCCGTCGTTGCAGCACTACACCTGCTTGATCGATCTGCTCTCCTGCAGCGGCCATGTCGACGAAGCGGTGACCGTGCTGCAGGGCATGCCTTGTCGACCTGATTCTGAAGTCTGGAGGGCACTGCTTGGCGGGTGTAGGATTGAAGCTGGCCTCGGATCAACCGGGGACGCGATAGCAGATGGGCATGTTTGGATTCCTTGCCGAGTACTGTATCGCCTCACCGAGCTAGAAATCGAAACTGGCCGCATGTTCCACAAGAGAGCCACCGGGCTGGCAAGAATCTCGGGGCCTGTGCCATCCGGATGAGGCGAGGCGAGGGAACCTTGCGAAAGTTCCAAGCACTCCCGTAGTTGAGTCAACTGGTGATGAGATGTGTGTGTCATTGACATGAACCTTGATTTGGCTGTCGAATAAGCTGACTCTTTTGGTTTTCTTCGGTCAGGTTTTGATTCTGTAACGGAAATATGAAAACTCACAGGAAGTTTTCATGGTTCGTTCCTGAAGGCTTGCAGTGGCAAGTGCTTAGGCACGGTTGCTGCTTGTACTAGGGAAACACAAGTTAGCAAAAAGTAGCAGATTGCACTTTGTAAAATAGTGTTGATGATGATGACTTGTGGACTTTGAGGATCAAATTCCATTTAACATGGTACTCCTGTTCTCATATGCATCACAGCTTTTTGAAGCATCCATACCTAACAGAGCAATGCTACTACTGTACTAGGACTGTCTTTGGCTCACAAACAGTCATTATATAATGAATGAAAACCGTTCCTTTCTTTTTTTTAAAAAAAGGGAGAGAATATCAAATCGAATTGTGAAGTGCTACCTGATTTGGAAATTGATCTTTTACGCAGTATTTGATCAGTTTTCATAATCGAACATAAATCATCCGCTGAAAGCCTGCAGTGGCAAATTGCCAATAGGGTTGCTGCTGTACTTACTGGGGAAACATAAGGCAGTGTTCGGCTGGCATTTAAATGACACTGTAGCATCTGAAAAGTACTGTAGCAACTAAACATAAGGCAGTGTTCGGCTGGCATTTAAATGACACTGTAGCATCTGAAAAAGTACTGTAGCAACTAGAGAACAGTGAGAGAAAAACACTGCTCCGGCTGGAAAAAAAGGAAGTCCAGCCAGCCAAAAGTGGCCAGCCGAACACACCGTAAGTCAGCAAAAGTGGCAGATTGCATTTTTTAATTTCTTAACAAGTGGACCGTGATTTGTGAGCATCATAATTCCTGTTGTTCTAGGCTCTGTTTAGTTGCACCCCAAAATGCTAAATTTTTCAAGATTCCCTGTCACATCGAATCTTTAGACGCATACATGAAGCATTAAATATAAATAAAAAATAAAACTAATTACATAGTTTAAACGAAATCCACGAGACGAATCTTTTAAGCCTAATTAGACTATAATTAGACACTAATTACCAAATAACAACGAAAACGCTACAGTAGCGTTTGCCAAAAAATTTGGCATCCAAACTGGCCCCTAGGCTAAAGCCTTCGAACACCGGTTGCCACTCAAGCGAAGTCAAACACGAAAAACGGGCAAAGCGAGATCTGAGCAAAACAAAATGAACGGTTTCATTAAACTTGTTCCTCCCTTACATCCCCTCGTTGAGGGCTATTTATATATGCTCGTAGGTTTTTTATAGGACGTTAATGCCCCCCTAACTACTACAAATTCGGGGAATAGCCCCTGCAGCCTTGGGTTTATTCGTCGTTAGGAGTATCCGCCTTCCTTGGATAACGCCAGCCCGATAAGGCTCGACCGGCTCCGCCTTATGTCGCCTGTCCAACCGACCGGAGGGACCCCGGTGACAGAAATTGTCAGCCATGCGAAGACGGGCGGCTCCTCCCCTAGCGAAACCTGCAGAAACGATTGACCAAACTGTTAATAGCTATTCGGACTGGCGAATAGCCGCGACCGATTGCGCGCTCTCCTCTGGCGAAACATGCAAAGACGATCGACCGAACCATTAATAGCTATTCGCCAGGGCGAATAGCCGCGACCGACCGCGCACTCTCCTTTGGCGAAACCTGCAAAGGCAATCGACGAACCATTAACGACTATTCGTCGCCGGCGAATAGCCGAGACCGTCCCGTGAGCCTCGTCTTCCGAGCAAAAGGAAAAGAACTCGACACGACCCGATCTCGGCCGCGGAGCCCACCCTTTCGCCATAGCGAAAAGGGAATTCTTATGAACGGGACAGCCAGCGTCGCCCTTACTTTGTTGTGGCGACGAGGTAGCTCGACTCATCATTCTCACCTCATATAGCTAGCCCTTTCGTCTTTCACTATAGCGAAATGTTGGGTGCGTCGGAGCCCGACTATTGTTATTTCCTCCCCGAGAAGTCAGGACGGCGATCGAGCCACGTACGGTGCCCATAGGCGGGGCACGCCCCCAACATTAGCCCCTCGGAAATGCGCAAGGAGGTTCTTGATCCGGCGTGTTTGCCTCGCTGAATTTATGGGATCATTGCGCTGGTGGGGCTCAAACGTGCGCCCCAAAGTGAAGGGGTGGAGGATCAATGTAGCTACGTACGCATATATTTGTGTGTTTTTTATTTATTACTGTTATTATAATTATATATATTTATTTATATATATTATTATTATATATTTTTTGGAACAGTGCGTGGTAGTTTTTCGGTTATCACGCCGTGTAACTGTTTCTCGAAATTCGAACCATCACGGCGGTTAGACGAACCGTCACGTTGTTTCCTCGATTTGCCAAAAGTCCGGCAAAGTGCCTATATAAGCCTCCCTTGGGTCGAGGAGCCGTGCGCTCTCATCTTTCCTTCCTCCTCCTGCGGCTTTCATGAGTCAAGTCTTCACTCTTCGGCCTTTCGCTTGGAGTTGCTTGGCGGCTTTCTTGGTCTCGTCTGGACTCCACTCTTCGCCGAGCTCTTGAGCAGGTTGGCTCTTTGATTTCTCCTATTCGCTTTTCATTTGGTTATTGTGTACTTGTACTATTTTATTGTTTAAATCTTTTTGCTTCTTTACTATTTTTGGTTTCTTTTTGGGTTTTCGTATGTACCCCGTTTGAATAGATATCGAGTGAGTGATCGTCTGGCGGCAGCTCGTCCAGCGGGAGCTCATCTGACACTTCTAGTTCGGAATCTCGCACCCGTTCACAAAGTGTGTCTGAGCGGGTGATGGCTCAGTCACCAATTGCGCGAGATGGTAACCTGGCGGCGGATCACCCTGTTGACGGTTGCCTAGGCCCTTCAGCAGATTGGCATTGGCGAAGAGATGATCAGATGTTGAGATTGAGGAAGAGGGCGACGAAGGTGAAACCCCGGTCCGGTGCAAATTACCACCGTTAAGGGCAACTTGATTTGACTCCGGCTACTTATCGGATAGGGTGTTCAAGCACACCGAGGAGGAGCTTGACAAGTATGTTGATCAAGGGCTTCTCAAGCCTACGCTCCATGGTCTGTGCCGTGCGCCGGGCCGAGAGGAGGTGCCCTGCCTAGAGCCTTACGAGGCCATCATCTTTCGTGATTTTTTCGCAGCGGGATTACGGTTTCCCTGTGCGGATTTTGTGGGCCAAGTATTGCAGCGCTTCAATCTATAAATTCACCACCTGACACCTAATGCTTTCGCGTGGTTGAGCGTGTTCGCCATGGTGCTCAAAATGTCAGGGTGTGCTCCAAGTGTGAATACCTTCACACGCTACTATGAAACCCATCTTCACAAGAAGGTGGTGAAGGACAAGCGGACCAAGGTCGAGATGGTGGCCCATTATGGCTCGTATAATTTTATTCCGAAGAAAACGAAGGGCACCGTACAAATTGTGCTGGCTTACCGGAATAAGTGGCCACGCTGGACCAATTATTGGTTTTATCACCGCGTGTGCTCTAATGAAGATGTGGCCGAGGCGATGATAAATGGCCTGCCGAAGGCGCACATACTTGTCTCGGAAATGACACCGATGGAGGGTTTTTGCTTGGCCGAAGTTCTGGCGGATGGTCTGCGTGATACCGAAGCTGTAGATTCCATCACTTTGACATCGCGCTGGCAGATTAGTCAAGATTTGGTTGAAGAATGGATAGCCTGCGACAGCCCTCCGCTGAGTAGCGAGACTCGGTTTTCTGACACAAAGCGAAGGGATGGATATGTCTTTTCGCGTCTCACCATTGCACCATCGGATGCCTTTACCACCGATTTTAGCTTTGTAAACTTGATAGAACACAAGGCCAAAGAAATCATTGGATTTTACGGTGATAGAGAGCACAAGGGCCGGTGTCAGTCCTTGGCTAGGAAAAGGCGATTGAACCGTGTCTTTGAAGCGATGGGTCTTTGCTATGCTGACCGGTCTAGCCCTTCGACCAGCCTGCCTTGGCCGTGGGGCGCGAGGGCAAAGAGGTAGGGCGCGAAAGGTGATGGCCGGACATGGGACAAACACTACTGCAATGGAGTCCTGTAAGCGAAAGCTTAGCAGTCGAGGACGTGATCCTGTGGAGCCTGCCGACGTGCGGATTGGATGAGAGATTGCTGGCAAGGTGGGGAATAGTAAAAAGGTCATGATCGGACAGACCCGCTGATTTGGGAAGTCTGGGCCGAAATGGTTGTACTATTTTTTGTGTATTTTTGTTGTTGTTATTTTTGGTTTGGCATTTCGTTTCCTAGTTCGCTCTTGTTTTATGTATTCGCTAATGCGCTGTTGTTGCTGATGTTTCAGGCTCCCTCAAGCTTTGACGGAATGGCTGGCAAGGCTAAAGTTGCTGATGTTTGCGATGCCTTTGGTCTTGCAGACACCATGTCTGTTGGTGATGTCCTTGGGAAGAAATCTAAGAAGAGTTCCCGCAAGTCCAGTGACCCCCCGAAGGATGCCGGGGCAAAAAAGGCAAGACTGACCTCTGTCGAAGAGGTGGCTTCTGTACGCCTGGTCGCTACTCCCATGGCGTCTCCTGATATTTTGGGCTCTCAACTGTAGGGTAAGTCTAGATTTTACGTGGAGTATATTCGCTTAAGCGAAGATTTGGTCCGCGGGAAATTGTTCGGTCATGGGAAGCTGTGACTGAATTCCTGGACTGAGGATTATGGCGACGTGCGGGTCTATTCGGGGTCGAGCTCTTCTGGTAAAATGAATTTCGTGAAGGAGGAGACTTACCGGATTGCTCGTTCTTTAGGGGCCGCGTCGAATTCTCGGGTCGTCGCCAACGTGGATTATCGCACCGTTGGTCTGCTGCCAACTCCGAGTGCTGCTAGCTTCGCCGATGCGTGTACTAGCTCATTCTCGGTTCTCAAGGTGGAGAGGGACCTTCTAAAGGTTTCTAACTCGTCTCTTATAGAGGCGGTAAACTTTCATCCTGCTAGCGTAAGTGGATGGATGTTCGACTTGTCTTTGTATTTTCGCCTAGCGGTAGCTTGTCGTGACGCGTCTGGTTCTCGTAGGCCATGCTTCTTGCCCGGGGGCTCCAGCACCAAGGCCAAGCTTTCTGCCAGG